GTATTTTTAGTAGAGACGGGGTTTCACCATGTTGACCAGGATGGTCTCGATCTCTTGACCTCGTGATCCACCCGCCTCGGCCTCCCAAAGTGCTGGGATTACAGGCTTGAGCCATCGCGCCCGGCCCTTTTTCTAGTTCTTAAGATGAAAAGTTGGGTTATCAATTTGAGAGCTTTCTTTTTTGTTGTTTTTTAAATAAGCATTTATATCTATAAACTTCTCTCTAAACACTGCTTTTTTAAGTTGCAGTCCATAAATTTTGGTATGTAGTACTTTAATTTATCTCAAGTTATTTTCTAATTTTCCTTGTGATTTCTTCTTTGACTCTGATTATTTAGAAGTGTCTTATTTAATTTCCACATATTTGTGCATTTCCCAAATTAGGAGTAGATCATTTAATTTCCACATATTTGTGCATTTCCCAAATTAGGAGTAGATCATTTAATTTCCACATATTTGTGCATTTCCCAAATTAGGAGTAGATTATTTAATTTCCACATATTCGTTCATTTCCCAAATTTCCCTTTGTTACTTAGTTCTAATTGTATTCTATAGTGGTCAAGAACATACTTTTTCTATCTGAAATGATACAAAAAGGACTGAAATATCCTTTTTACATGTATTGAGGCTAATTTTATGTCCTAATGATCTATCCTGAAGAGTGTTCCATATGCACTTAAATGTGTGTCCTGTTCTGTAAGTGGAGTATTCTACAGATGTCGTTAGGTCTATATGGCTTATAGTGGTGGATCTGGGAATCGAGCCCAAGCTATTCTGGCACTTTCAAGAGGGTGCTTGCTTACCTTTTCGAGGGCTCAGCATGCTATTTAGTATCATCCTAATGGTAAGAGGCATGCACAGTAAATGCTCACTTTGGATTTGCTCTTAAACACATCTATTCTGAAGAACTCCAAGGAGAGTAAAGTAGGAAATGAAATCAGCTGTTTTATCTTTCCTGACTAATTTCATGGGCATGTTCTAAATACATGACTACTATGTACTCTGCAAATAAAAATATATACAAGTGCACAGAGAAAATAAATGATGTTATTTCAAACTACTGAAATTTGGTCTGCGCAAGCACTTTCTGAAAGAAATATTATGACTTGGTACAGAAGAAATGAATTTTATGATTAAGAAACTTCTCTTACAAAATAAACTCTGTGAAGCAGTATCCAATGCAGTTGATTTAAGATAGTCCTTGTGAGGCAAATCTGGAAATTAAGACAACTACATCAATATGCAAAAATTATTTAACAAAATACCTTTTTCTATTCTTGCACAAAGTTTGTGGTTAATTCCATCAAACTGTTCAGAAGATAAGATGTGCATACTCTCTTCACCACACCTAAAAGAGAAAACTGGAATTTTAAACTTTTAAGAGAAAACTACAAAACAGTATTAATAACATATCATTAAGGCCACATCTACATTTTTTTAAAAAAAAAAAAAAAAAAAACACACACACACAATATTTCGGATCTTATGCAAAATTCACAAAGGTATTTGCCTTATTGTACTGTATAATATGAAAGTTTGCCAATTTAGTCAAGTACTAAGATTTTTAAAAATATATATATATATGACTATGACTTAAATACTATTGAATTATATGAAGTTACAAAACCAAAGAAATGCTTTACTTTTGTTTCTGATTATTATAATCAGCACTCAGCACCTTCACACATATTCTCCGTAAGCTTCTACTATGGAATCATGGCTATTTTTACTTGGACAATAGGAAAATTACAAGACCCTCCAAATACATCAAAACTTTCTCATTGAATAAAACACAGAACTCCTGGTTCTCATCGGAGATTTTACCGTCTAAAACATAGAACCCAATATCCAAAATTAGTGCCAGAAATAATAAATCTCAGGAAATAACTTTTTAATTTTCTTTTCCTGCTCACTCTTTTTCATCTTCATCCTAAACAGCTACCTTTGTATCATATTGCCTCTTGATGAAAGTAACAAAAGCATTTTGCTTTATAATACTGCATGGTGAATCATTTTCAAACTTGTGAGGGACAGTAGTCATGACAGAAGGGTGCTCCTATCCCAAATTCATGACACTAACTATATGATCTAATTAAATCAGAAAAAGTTGAGTACGGCAAAGGTGTTTTAGAAGCAGTTGTGGCTTACCCAGTCATATGGCAACCCCTGAATGTAAAAATATTCTTTCAAGCTGGTATGCTATGCCTTCTTCCAATTTTGATGACCATATCACAACATATCAATACAAGCAGTGTACATGTAGTGAAGCAAAGAGACTTTTGAACTATCCTCACAACTAACGTAAAGGTCATGGCAGGTAAATATATTCTTTCCACAGTTTGTCTAGCTAGATCTTCTTTCACATTAGTTCCTGAGGACTGAGGCTCCCTAGGTTCAACTGGGCACTTCTTGAAAAGAAAGTTCCTGAAGCTCTCTGCCCTTGTCCAGGAAAGGTTGGCTGCAGAAAGACTTCAGGTTTTCCTAGGGTGCTAGAGCACAATTACTTTGTGTGGCAGTGGGGAAGAAGATTCACCTGAGACTTTAGGTACAGGGGAGAGAAAAGACCATATGTAAAGTGATCACAGATTAGGGGAAGCAAGGTACCCTGAGAAAGACGGAGAACATTAGGGTTGATGATGGCAGTAACAGACAGGTGCTTAGAAACAGAAAAGAGTACTATGTTTCAGCAAATGCTTACATTCCTCCTTCCTATAGTCCTCCAGTCTGTATCCAGAAGAATGTGGCAATCACAGAACATCTTTTCCTCCACTCGCAGGATAAGCTTCCTATAGCCATAGATGGACAAGGAGGCAAAGATACAGTAGAAAAAAATGCCAACACTTCAAAACCTGACTGGAGCAGAAAACAATCTAGTCAATATGAAGAGAGTCTGAGCAGGGGCTTGGTAGCATGAAGAACAGAGACATCATCTTGCAAAGGGGCAGAAAGCAACTTTATATATTAGTATTGATATACCACGCTCTTTGGAGAACCACTGCTTTAGATGAATCTTTATTTGTATATTGGCCAAAAAAAAAAAAAAAAAGCCACCTATGTTTTGAGAAATTTATCATCATTTTACCTATGGTAAAAATAAAATATTTCTTAGTATGTTCTTTAGAATTTTTGTGTAAGCATTCTGTTGTTCCTAAGCCAATCTAAATTAATAGTCAAAATTAAAGCTATCATATTAAATGTATCTTTTTTACAAAAAAACAAAACTAAAATTTCATATTTTCTGGAATAAAAACATCCAGAAGAGTCACTATAAAATGCATCAAAACCTTAAGAGTATGGTAGTTCAAGCAAACATATTTTCATAACTTAAAAAATATGAAAAATACATATAATGTTTCATTCATGATTCACCCTTCTCAGTTACATTAAATAAATAAAACTTTTAATTGGGTAAGGGAAAAAAATCACTGTCTTGGCACGTTAAAAAGAAAATGGAGATCATTATAATTTCAAATGGAGATCTACTTAGTAAGTTTACAAAAAAATATAAAGTAAAAAAATCCCTTGGCCAAATAAAATGTACCCGCAGTACCAGCAGAGTTATAATATCTAGCGCTTTTCTCACCATTTATTTAGTGAACACCTGTGGGACACAGACTCAGCAGCTTGCTTAGTGAGATAGGGGCCCTGTTCTTAAAAAGCTAGTTGTAGAGCCTTGCTGGTGAATAAATTGTTTTCTAAAATAAGTAAAATGTAAGATAACATATGATGTGTCAGAGACTTTTTCAATAAAATAATTTAAATTACTACAAATGTTTGCTTTAAAAAATGTGCTTAAAAATTTCCACAGAACATCTCGTGCCTCCCATCTCCTTCTCAGCTTTAATATTGACCTCGGTCCCAGGAGAAATGGACACACAATACAGAAACTGCATTCAGAGCAGCTTGTCTTTCTCTGTGTCCTACACATTCTCATCTCCTCAAATTCTGCAACTGCTCAGAAAAGGGTGTTTGTGGTCAACTAGGAAACTCACTGCCCAGATTATTTTTGGAGCCAGCCTCTTTGATGCCTGACACTAAACCTGCTCTCCTTAACTCCTCAAACCTTCAGTACTATTCTCCTCTTCATGCTCTCTGTAGATCATTTCACCTCCATTTTCCAAAGGAAACAGAAGTTTTCCAATGGAAAGCTGCCTTCCATACAACCTACCAAAGTGGCTCCGGTCCTTCCTACTCTGGACCTGACACAACAAAGTGGTGCCCCTCCTCCTTCCAAATGCCAGACCCTCTGCCTATGCCTAATTCCATTCTTCCCAATAACATGAAAATACTATTCCTTTTCTTGCTTATATATTCAACCTCTTCTTATACAGATCTTTTGCACGGCTTGTTAAACAAACTCTAGTCTCTTCCAGCAAAAAAACCATTTGGCCCCCATATTTCCCTCCAGCTATAGCTCACAGGCCTATCCAGACACTTCCTGCTTCAAATAAATTTCTCTGCAGTTACCTAAACATTCTAACTTCATGTCCTCATCTCCTATTACCCCCCATATGTGCTTAAGCCCCCACTACACCTCTCCTCCAAGACCCTTCTCTCAAAGTCACCCACAGATGCTGTTCAGTCCTCATCTTACTGGACGTGTTAGCAGTAAAATCACCACTGTTATCTCCTTCTTAACATCCCCTTTTTCTCTTACTTTGTATCAAGCAGAAGCCCCTGGTCTCTCCTTCTGCCTGTCTTGCTATCCTTGGCCACTGAATGCTGAAAAGCCTCAAGGTAACATCTTGCCTCACTTTATATTCTCTCCCTAGGATATCTCATCCATTTCACAGACACATAAATAAAAGTGAACTTTTTTGTTCTGTACTTTTAATCTCTAGTCCAGACCCCTTCTATGAGCTCCACGATCTACTTATCTGTAGGTCCGTATCTGTCTACACAGGCGGCATACAGAGTGGTAAGGTACATGGGCTCTGGAGGTGAACTACCTACATTCAAATCCCTTTTCTTCCACTAACTGTCTGACATTGGACAAGTCTCTTAATATTTCTGTGTTCCATGTCCCCAGCTTAAAAAATGATGTAATAACTTTAAATGCTCAAAAATCTTAGCTATTATCATTATGACTATTTGACGTTTCCTCTTGTGTGTCTCAAAGCCATCTGAAATGCTCTACCTCTAGAATGAAATGCATAATATTCCCAAAATGTGATCTGCTTCTGGAATTCCCTCGCTGTCTAATGCTGTAATCAGAAATCTAGCAGTTAGTTTTGATACAGTTCTCTTTCCTCTCCCACTTCTAATACAACGTATCTGTTGAGATTTAAGGATTAAACCTCTTTTCTATAACTGCACCGCTATCACTTTAGCCCAAGCTCCATCCTCTCCAGTGCACGCCATAAAGTGGACTGTAACCTGTCAACACACTTCCACCCTTTACCCCAAAGCACCATCTACACTGCAGTCAGAAAGATCTTTACCAATTGCAAATCTGGTCAAGTCAACTTCAGGCTTAAAACCTTTTATTGGTTTCTCCTCGGTCTTAGAATAAGCAATGATCTTTATTAAATATAGTCTAAAAAGCTCTATAAGGTCTGAACTCTGCCTCCCTCTCCAGTCTGATTTCATACCATACATTCCCTTGGTTCTCTCAGCCCATTCTCTACTTGGCTTGCTTCCAGTTCCTCCTGCTGGCTTTGCTCCTTCCCACCACAGGGTCTTTGCCTATGCCCTTTCTTTCCTCTGTTTGAAATGCTGTTTCTTCCTCCTCTTCTAGTTGACTCTTATTCATCCATCAGATTTCTGCTTAAATGTATCCTCCTTAGGGAAGCCGCCTCTGGCCTCTCAGATGAAGCCAAATACTTTTATTCTTGGTACTCATCATTTTATGCCTTTCTTTCAGGGCAGAGAAAGGGTAAGTGAACTTGGGGAGGAAGGAGGAAAGAAGTATTTCAGTCAACTAGAAGTTAACACACTTAATCATTTAGTTGAAAAAGCAAACACAGGCACAAGGGGAAGAAGAATTACTTAGGTAACAATAGGCTATATGAAGAGAGGTGGGTAATAACAAGCTGTAAAAGCAAAGAAAAAACTAAATAACAAACCTGCTGGAATCAGAACAAGGACTTCCTGTGTGTCTCCAATCTTGTAGTTTTTATTAAAATGAGTTAGGGAAGAAAATGTTCCCACTCGAACTATATATGTTCAGTACACAGGTAATGATTCATCCAGTCTTAGCATATTAAGCCATAGACAAATCCAATCCAAATGACTAAAATGACCAAAAAAAAAGTAATTTTAACTAATAAGTTAATTTCAACAATGTCTTAAACACCTTTTAAACTGATATTTTGCATTACTGCTTCACATTTTATGTGTGTGTAAAAA